ATGCCTTTCAGATCCTTTTTTTATAATCCACTTCTTTTGCTCATCCTTTTATTAGTGTTAATTTTTGAGTAAGCTACCCACTTGTATACTTCTTTTTAAACTTTCTGTGCCTAGAATATAAATTTCAGAAGATGTGATAAACTTTAAAGTATTTATTTTGAGCATGTGGAGCTACACAATGGTAAGCCATCCAAAAAATGTACTTATGGCCAGTTTAAAACCCGAACTCTACCCTCTGGATTTGTTACTCTCATTCTGAGTTAAACCTTCCTTTCCATCAGACCAGTTTTTACTTCCCTGCTGGCAGTGACAGCAAACGTCCTGCCTGTCAGCCTTAAACATTTTATATGTACTTTCAGGCTTTCAGTAAGACAGACAGTGAATCTTGCTGGGATTCTATCTAAGCCCCATGGAATAGCCTATCCATTATAATTTTCCAGTTCACTACAAACTGTAGCTCAAATGTATATCACAACTTAGATATTAGTTTTTTTCATCTTGTATGAGAAAACCATAACATATGCAAAACTCAATAATACCCATGTAAAAAAAAAATCCCTTTTTTTTCTCTTTTTTTTTTTTTTTTCTTTTTTCCCTTCTTTATTTTTTTCTTTTTTCCTGGAGGTGTTTTCTTTGCCACTTTGTAAAGAGGATTGAATGTGATCCTTGAGGCATCATGTGCAGCCTTCCAAAAAGAAAAGCTGAAAAACAAATTGGACAAGCATTAAGAACTGCAAGTAAAGCAATTCAGTTACACAATGGTGTAATGGTATGTCACAAGGTTGAATAATGAAGGACCTGCTTCTGAGTGTCTTAGTCAAATCAGGGATTGCAATAAAGTTCACAAGGGATTTAATAATTAAATCATGGGGTTTTATGTGTTATTTATGGATTTCGTTGATATAATAAATGTGGTACCTCGTGGAATACAGACTTTGCAGTGACAGGCAAAGCTAGGTGCCTAATTTGGAAATATTATAGTATAAAGATAATGCAGTTATCATGTCTGATAGCCGTCGGTTCTTCTGCAAATACACAACTTTTCTTGAGCCGCTTGGGCTGCATCTCTTAAAACTCTAGATACAAGCAGATTCACTGCATTGGTTAGGTAAGGCTAGGTCATTAACTCAGGCTGGCATACTTAAGGGCAAAGGAACATCACTGGGCCTTTTTTACATATCTGTTTGAGAAGGAAACACAGCAGAGTAAAGAATAATCTTGGGAAGTAGGACAAAAACCAAATCCCCAGTATTGTCAGAAAATTATGAAGAATTAGAGTGGTTTGAATATGAAATGGTTCACCACAGTGAGTGTGCACGTATGTGATCTGGAGAAGTTATTACACGGCTGGCAAAAAAGCCTTTCCCTCCGGAAAAAAAAGGATAATAGGGCAAAAAAAATCTTGCTTTGTCTTGTTTTTTCCTCTTGAGAACAGCTACTTTTGCGTCATAATTGAAAGATGTTTAAAAATTCTTATCAGCTTTAAAGTTAAATATTTTAATTTCAATTTTAGGTTTCAAGAATTTGACTTGTTCAGAATAGACTTACTGGAAAGTCATTTGGGATTTGCTTTTTAAAGCAACAATTTTTAAAATTCTTCTAAGTGCTGCAAATTCTACAAGAGAAAGCATCACATTATCATGTGAAAATCAGTCTTGGCCTTTACAAAGCTTTCACACCTTTGCAGATCCTATAAAGAACAGCTTCTTCACTCTGTAAAGGTATGTCATTGCATTTTTTAGCTCCCTGTCTTTTCATTGCTGTATCATTTTAAAAAGTCAAAAAAAATAGTTTTATATTACTATGCAAAACCGCACATGTATATGTGATGGCAAATGTGTATTTAAGGATCTGGGATCTGAAGAGATCTATCTGAAGAGATTGAGGAAAACACATTTGTAAAGGAAAAGGTTTCTAATTCATGCATGTTTATCAATTATTGCATTTAACTGCTTAATGCCAGCTTTCTGAAACAAATTGCATTTATACCATCCTGATAGCTACTTAATTGTGCATGAATAATGGAAGCCTAAAATCTTCAAGCAAAGCTGTGACTTCAGAATTGAATTATAAGCTGAAGGCTTTTTTTTTCAACATCAGAGTCTTAGTTTTGAGTAATGGTGAATATTCTGCTCAAATGGTCAAAGGGTCTCACTGTGGGAAGTTCTGAGGCTATTTTTCAAAAGATAACTGCCACTACCTTTTTTGTAAAAAGGTGAAAATTTACCTTTTTTTTCCTTGCAAAGTTCACTTGCATAGTGCTGCACAACACAATGTTACAGATTGGAAACGGAGCTGCAAGCAGCTGTAGTTCTAGGAAAAGTAAGGAATTCTTTATGTACATATGTATGAGTCTGTCCACATTTTTAGCTAAAGGCTTGCAGTATAAAGCATGCCAAATAGTCCCTTCAGACAAACTGGTTAGAAGGAGTACGTGTACGAGCAGGTCGAAGGCTGGCAAGTGCATGTCCGCAGTGCCATCTGGTGCCAGTGGTCATGCCCCTGCCTCCTCCCTGCCGCAGGGTCTTCAACGGGTCACACCCGAGTTGGAGTTTCCTTCCCTTCAGTTCCTGCAGTTGGTATTAACCTACCAATAGCTCTTATGAACAAAGAAACCTCACTGGAATGGTGTTTTGCTTTTAACCGTTTCACAGACTCTACATGTAAAACAGGAATGTTGTGATGACTTTGTGTGAAACAAACACAAGAAATGCAAGTGTATTCCTCTGAATGGTGACCATATTGGGTTCTTCTCTTTCGGTACATCAGCATGAGTAATGACAGTCCTGTGTTCCTCCAGTCTCACTGGCATAATTCCCTCAATTTCTATTCCTAATCTGACATAGTAATGACCTAATCAAAACTGCATGGGCAAAAACCTAATATAATCTAGCCAGCATAGTTCTAAGTCCCCTTCCTCACACCTAGGGATTTTGGTCAGGCTGCTCAGAGCAAAGAGGAAGGAAATGTGTAATACCACAATCCAATCAGTAGACAAGGCACATACAGTCATCCTGTGACTCAAAAGACACTTACTTATTCCAAAGTTTTCCAAAGTAAAACTACAATGTGTTCAACTGTAGTGCATCTCTGTTACCCCTGAGGCTGCCAGTGGCTACAAGTGCTCCAACCCAGACTATTTGAATCTTCAATAATCAGGTTAGTTCTTGAATCTTCAATAGTCAGGTTAGTTCACGCCATTCTCTGAGAAGTGTCAGTATTTAATCTACCCAGTGATCCTCTGATAAGTTTTTAAGAGTGTATTGCTTTGAAATCAGTATTTATGCTGTGAGGAAAAAAGAAATTAAACCCAAACTGTATGCGTAACATGGTCTTTTCAAAAACAAGGGCAATGTTTCATTTCCACAATGGCCTGCTGGAATCCACAGACACTCAGCAACCACTATACTGTCATGGGGTGAGATAAGAATTCGGAGATTCATGGCCTTAACCATTCATCTTGAATCTATATGGACAAAAGCTTGCAGTTAAAAATTTGCATTGTTAATACTTGATGTATTCAAGTCCCTGTTCTCTAGAGTATAATGGACTCATACTTTATACTGTTACATATATTTAATCAGTTTAACAAAGCAAATATATATTGAACTGAGCTTGGAAGGTTATTAGTCCAGAAAATTTTCTGTACGACATGACAAATCTTTTACGGAGTTCCTAATTGGGCCTGTTTTGTGTCAGTTCAGATGTTCAGCACTTTCAAAAATGAAGGTATTTAAATGCAGAGTTTAACCACTGCACATGCAGTGCTCTTTACTACTTCACATAGGCTAGCTTTAAACTCTCCATTTGTACATGACTTCAATATACTAATTTGATAGACAGACATTTTTATGGAAAATAGCCAAAATACATTTGTACTTAAACAAGTGAGATGAGTTTATACTCTACTTTTTAGTTAAGAATCCCTCTGACTTTGGGCAGTCTGGTTTGGGGTCCATTTCCTTAGTTTGTGGCCAGATCTTGTTCAAACACATATAGTCCTACCCAGGTTAATGCTTATGATTTTGTAGCCAGGAAAAGCATACAGCCTGCTTGAAATAGTGAAATCACTAAAATGAATTGTAACATTGTGATATGACTAGGCAGGCCTCATTCTTGATATTGAATTGAACGACTGAGTGGCTTTCTGGTCTTCTATGCCTCTCTTTGTCCGATTCATCTAATTGGGGCAGCAGGGACTTTCCAATACTCTGCTTACATGTGTGCAATCTAAGGTAGACGTCCACCTTTCATCTTCTGGAGAAAATGACACCTCCAGTGAGAGTCTTTCCATCGTAATACGGAGACCTAAGGCTAAGGGATGCTGCACAGTCTTGCTATTGCCTTCTCACTGAAGGGAAGGTGCTGCATTTATGTCTGTCAGTTCTGGTATCCAGACTTCTATTGGCAATGGTAATGAGTCACACGTTAGCTTTTCCTTGCCTGTTGGCCTGAGCTGTCTTTAGAAGGAGACATGGGTACACAGGGAAATAATGCAAAACATCATCTTCTTTTGACATCAAGTTGGGAACTGACAGTTATATGTGGGAAACTGAACTGTTAATGCACTCCTGCCACAGTGATATAATTCCAGCCTAACACAGGCAGGATAAAGTGTGTTTTTTTCCTTTATTGACCAAAAAAAAAAAAAAAAAAAAAAAAAAAAAATTCCCATGCAGGAGAGTGGTCAAGGACCCAGGAGAAGATCATTCCTCCCAGACATTTGTTCAACCCCATCTTATAAGGAAGTTTGTCCAAGTGGTTTTTTTCCTTTATTGAACAAAAAAAAAAAAAAAAAAAGAAAAAAGAAAAAAGAAGCTTAAATTATACTTAAGATTGTTTGCCAAACCAGAAAAGGACCATGATTAAGTTAAACTAGTTCCACTTTAAAGGCTGTAGTCTAAGTGTGTTTGAAGGTATTTGATACATCTGAAGGTAAGTTATTTTGCTGTCATGTTTATCAGTTGAGCAAGTCTTGTAACACTTGTTTTCTTTCATAGGTGACACTACCGTATGACTTTCTTCGCGTGAGACACTACTTGAAATATTTTGATAAAATGAGATGCTTGCGGAAACGATCAGCAGTGTCATTCTTAGGAGTCCTTGTCATTTGCTTGCTGTTTATGAACTTGTACATTGAAGACGGTTATGTTTTGGTAAGTTTCTTAGTTGGAAGCAATTATCCTGGAACAACAGAACAGGACACATTGCTAGTTAAGCAGTAAAGTTCATAGTTCCTGCAATTTCCCCTGTTACTGTACCATTAAAAGTGAAGTATCCTCACAATGTGTCCTTTGTGATGTAGCCATCTTATCACAAGGTTTGTCAGTAAGATCCTAACACTCCTTTTCATAGAAGTAAAATATGTCATTGTTTATTGGAAGTATGGGAGGTAATGAATGCAGCAAAACATGGAGACATCTCAGTCAGATATCTTTCTTTGATTCAAAACAACCCCTTTGTTTTCCATACTTCTGGATTTCCCTCATTTTTTAGATTGAAAACCATCTGCAACTGAAATATTCATGTGATCTAGGGGCTCCTTTTTCAGTCCACAATACAAATCTCACCTGTGAATACTGTATTAAACAATATTACAGAAGTACAATTAGAGAAGAGAACTTACACTAATTCCATATACTTCACGCTCCTTTCATTAATAATTTCTTTTTAGTGACTTTATTCTGTGGTCTTTTTCATTTCACACATCCCAGATTTGAGTCTGGCAGGTTTACTGATTCGATGATTCTATGATTCTATTACACCTAGTGTAAGTTTATGACTGTGAAAAAGATTTATTGAAAGATCTGCGTTAGGAATTTCAACAAGTAAGCTACTGACAATGTAACCTTAACTCTACAATTCATATGTGACTTATGGGTGTCTCAGTGGTGAATGTCAAATAAACTCTAAAGACTTGATTAATGGATTGAATTACCAGTTTGCCTGAGGCTGGACTGGACCCAGTAAAAGAACAGGAGTTTAATAACTGGAGCTAGCAAATGGTAAAATGAATAAACTGAATATGTAACATTGTGAAATGATTAGAGAGTCCTCTTCCTTGAACTTGAATTGAACTACTGAGTAGTTTTCTGATCCTCTATGCCACCCTTCTTTGTCTGATTTGTCTAATTGGGACAGTATGGGGTTTCCAATATTCTGAAAGGTGAAGTCCAATCTAAGTTGGATCTGAAAAAAGAACATCATAGTATGAAAAATGTGCAATACATAAATAGTAAAATCCTGACATGAATTTAACAAAACTGTAGATAACTTACTAGCCATTTTAAATTAAAAATTATACTTGTAACATTACTTATAAAAATATTGTAAATATTGTAAATACTATTAAGACCATGCTACTACTTTTTAATAATTGAAAAGATAACTCATGCTTCTAGCATGTTACTCCATTACAGACATATTGCTTTAACAGTACTTACAATAAGGTTTCGCACTATGTTTTATTTATTCATCATTTCTTGGTTGTGATTGAATTTGACCTGGCTTATCACATATTTTTTTCCCAATGGTATTTTCCCTGATGCTTCTTCTGCTTCCACTAATTGCTTCAAAGTCCACCAGATGTTTCTGAAAAAGTGCTTTTATTATCACTGCTAATGGTGTTCCTCTTGGTTTGTTCTCGGAATATTTTCCTGTCCTATTTGCCAGCTCCCCAGATGGCTCCATGTCTTATTCCTAATTTGCTCTTTCCCCCCCCCTTTTTTAGAAAGTCACTCTCTTTCATGGCTTCTCTCATCACAGTTCTGGCATGTTTGCATGCATGTAGCTCCCAGCCAAGTCTCTTGCCAAGTCTCCTGACAGTTCTCTCAGATCTCTTGATACCTTTATGGGCCATCAAGTAGTTTTCAAATGTGTTAGGCTGTTGACTTTTCAGTTTATTTATTTATTTTTATTTTCAACTTTCCTGAATATGTCTGACAGCTCCGCTAACTTGTCTGGTGTGTTTTCTCTGCTGAGGAAAAGATGAGCAGTTTCAGCACTGGTGGTGAGGAGAGATACACCTGGGGGTAGCTTTCAAAGACAGCAGGTAAACCAGTTTCCCCCAGGAAATGGGAATCTGATAAACCTCAGAGTCCTACTTTCCAATTGTAGCAAGTCTCCTGCTGGAGTATCTCCTGAAGGTAACTGATAGAGGAAAGCAACTGACCTTGAGTTTCCCTTCCCAGTCTCAGGCAGCAGGCTGTGCAAGGGGATGAGGGGGCTGGTATCTCTTTCACCAGATTGTAAGATGAGTGGCCTTTTTCAGGACATTAGAATATCAAAGTGAGAGTCATTGTGGCAAATCTTAAGAAGGGAGAGGAGAACTTTTCGCTCAGAGACTCTCACATGTCTGAAGAATCCCTTCACTTTTTTTCTGCAGGGTATTTGCTATGGAAATGGAAAGTAATGGCCCACCTGGGAAAAGTTCTTGTCATGGTTTCAGCTATATTTACCAAAAGCAGACCGACAGATAGTCCTCCCCTCCTCCCCTCCCTCAAAAGAGGGGAGAGAAAGAAATAAGGAGAATTAGAAGTTTAGAATGAACTAAACAACTTCCATAAGAAAATTAATATTAAAATAAAAAAGAGGAAAACAATGAAGTAGATACAATATATACGAAACCGTATCAAGCTCTCAGGATGATGTCACTGTCAGGCACTGGGGAAGTCCCAGACTGGACTCAGCGATGGATGGGAACTGGGTTCCAGCTCTGGAGTCAGGAACACACAGATCAGGATCAAAGGCAGCTGAACAGACAGAGTCCTCTTTGGATGTTGGCCACTGAAGAAAGAGAGTTGACCTTTTGATCCCTCAACTTTTATACTGAGCATGGGTCAGGTGGGATGGAATACCCCAGTTGGTCAGGTTTGAGTCACCTGTCTTGTCCACTCCTCCCCACAGGTGTGGGGGAGCTTTTTCTATTTCCACTTTTTCTATTCCCGACCCTCTAACGGGGCAAATAACGAAACTGGCTGACCTTGCTTGTTATAGCAATAAGTATAAGTCTATTTCCACTTTTTCTATTCCCGACCCTCTAACGGGGCAAATAACGAAACTGGCTGACCTTGCTTGTTATAGCAATAAGTATAAGCAAGGGCCTCTCTGCATACCATTCCTTGGCCCATAGCACAAACATTGGTCTTATCACTCTGAGAATGAGCAGTTTTCTCCACAATAGGCTGTTAATTTCAGAGAGTTAGAGGAGGCCTAGCTAAAATGTAAAATTACTAAACAGAAAGTTGGTTCTGTTGTACTTCAAACCGGGACAGTGCTTAAGTATGTTTAATAGGGGATATACAAAGCTGACGCATGTGTCAGCAGAGCAGTTGAAGGTGCTTTGTCTGCAGCATGTGAAACACATTGGATCAAATATTAGAAGACATACTGAATTAATATAAACAAATATTGCAATTTATGCAGCAATTTTTTGTACATATTCTGAATTGTTAACTAAAGCATAAGGGAAGCATGCCTCCCACATTCTTCTATGAATACTAATCATTATTTTGGGCACTATGAAAACAATAGTACTATTGTAGTTGACACAGCATCCTCAGCAAAGCAGACTATCTCTATAAAGAATGAAGAACTCCTGGCACTTCTTCCCATGGCACCCACAGCCATGGCACCTCCCAAGCTCCAGCAAATAAGTTAGATGTAACAGATGAAAGCAAGAACCATCATAAAAAAAAAATTCAATACAACTAAAGGGAGTTAATCAAGCTCTTCGGCTTCACTGACCTCTGCATAAGAGTCAAAGGTAGAAGAAACAGATTTCAAATTTGTGGAAAAATCCATATTTAGTTTTGCTTTTCATTCAACAAATGAATGAAAATGACAACAGTTTAAAAAAAATTAGGCACTTCTTGAAAGGTAGTTCTTAAAGAGGGGAAAAGAAAGGAAAAATTTTATTTTGCTTCTTTTGCTTGTTAAAATCAAAACATTTGGTTTGGACTTTCTTTGTTTCTAAACATTTTAAATTTTTTTATGTAGAAAAACCTCAGCAGAATGGGTTTCCATTCCAAAACCTTCTTATGAAACAAAGAATTTTGGTGCTCCATTCTGGAACCAATGACATGTGATGTTTTGACATTAAAGAAAGGCTGAGTTTGTAAAAAGAAAGTTTTTGGACCAGCCTTTTGTTTTTTGTTGGTTTTTTTTTTTTTTTTTAGTTGACAATTTTCATTAAAATCTCCCAAAGTTTTGGTGCATTCTCTTCCTAGCTCACTGAGTTATATTTTAATCTAAAATCTGATCAACATAAACCTTCCGTTCATAACTTATGAGCAAAGGCAAAGTAGCATAGTGCTTAGAAAGAAATTACTGGAGAGACATTGCAATCAAGAGAGCACAACAGTGCAGGTAGATGCCCCTGGATGGCCACCAAAGATCAAAGTGGATTATTTACTACTTCTATGAAAGAGAAATAATGAAATTAAAATGAACCTGGGACTGTTTTACAGAAATATTTCTTTGTGCTATAAAATACAACTTTAACACATTTTTAAATATTTATGCCATTGAATATGATTGCTGTTTACTGTTTCTGTGGTCGTTCTTGTTAGCTGTAGTACTAACACTGCAAAATGCTCCCATTTAATAACAGATCAGGAAGTTTTTAGTGCATTAGCATACTGTATATATCAGAGGAAATGAACTCATTCATACACTGGCCTGTCATCAGGCTAGAATCAAGTGTAAATTAAATAAGCATTCCTACCTTTAAATTCAGTCTCATTACACTACAATCTGTTAGATATTTTCCCTGTTCTTAAGGTCTAAGATACAGAATTTCCCTGAAACCCAACTGAGCCTATGGAAAGGGCTCTGCTGATGAAGCCAAGCCATTCCTTCCCTTGTGGGACTTTACTATGACTTGCGAAGCCTTTAGGAAGAAAAAGACAGGAGAAGGAAGCAGGAGGAAGAAGCATGGTGATAAATTTGCCTTTTTTCTACACCATCAAACAGTGTTCATCAAATCTGGAGAAAGCTTTGGCTGTCTGGATGATTACATGCATTTCTTCTTATCACAAATCTGAGTTGGAGCTACTTAGAAAAGTGGCAAAAGAAGCCAGTTGCCAGGATCTTTTTTTAACCACTGAAAACATTTTAAAAAAATCTCCCCCACTTTTTCATCTATGTAAATTATCTCATCTGTTGCTGATTAATGCTTTCTTATCCCTGTTTTGGATACCATGGCATTTTTTGGCAATAATTTAGTGTTTTCAACCTTTCCAGAGTTTTTGTCCAAAATATTTTTTTTCTTTTCCGTTACCGTAATCTGAAGGGTTATGGTAGATTTTCTGGAGCCAAAAATGTATCATATTCAGTAATGGGTTTTTGAAAAAATGAGGTGACATCTACATGCTTTCACGAAAGCTGACACTGAAAAATGTTATTCTTGGAAACGTGCCTGTCCGTGTTTCCTCTCTGGCTGGCATTCACAAATGTGTTTCTCTCTGTCTCTTTTCCTCTCCTATTCTTTTTGTTTTCTCACTAATAGGAAGGGGACAAGCAATTAATCAGAGAAACAGCCACGCACCAGCTCAACCCAGAACGCTATGTTCACACTTTTAAAGATTTATCTAATTTCTCAGGATCTATAAACATTTCCTATCGCTACCTAGCTGGCACGCCTTTGCCAAGAAAAAGTAAGTAACTGCAATCTGAATGTTATGAAATGAGCTAATTTAAAAATGGGTGAAATCCATATAGTTCCCGTGGTAGTTCTGGGCAAGAGGGGCTGAGTTAAGCAGTGACGATCTCATAGAGATAGTGGGACAGCTATCTCTCTCTGCATAGGCAGTTCCTGGGCAGCTGCTAGGTCAGCTCCAGCAGTGACTGCTCCACAGCCCGGTTACCTTCTGATCAAATGTCTGACTTGTAATCATCCTGCAGGCAGCCCCAGACGATCTGTGTGAGCCTATTTTTGTGGATCCTCCCCAGGCCAGATGGAGATGATTTAGAAACCACATGCTGGTGGTGTTCTGTAACCACTCTCTGAGACCATACTGTCAGCCTCTGTCTGTGCAACTAGTAAATCCAATCTAAGGTACACTTGGGATCACATAGATACACCCTTCAGGTTGCCTGTTCTGACAGTCCAGCAGCTGTGAATGGATCTCCTTGTTCCTTTAGTGGTGATAAAGAGGGAGGTGAACTGTGCTATTAAGGGGACAATAAAGGAGGATTCTTCTCGCAGCCATCTGCAGATGGACTGTCTAGGTGTTCTGACTTGTAGCAGGGTTCAAAACTTTCATTTCAAAGTGAAATACAGCCATACCTAACTTTTAGACAGGTGTCCTCTGGGTTCCAAATCAATCGCTTCACAAACATAAACAAGGCTCAGAAGTCCAAGCACAGAAGGTAAAATAAAATCATCTATGAGTCATTGATCTCCACAGAAAGTTATAAAGTAAAGTTTGTTCAAATTAGATTTGAGAAATTTGGGGCTGTGTAGGAAGCATAAATGGTTTCTAGGGGCTGTACTTCACTGTACAACTGCATTTTGAGCAGACTTAAGCCTTGAGGGAATCACTTTATCATAGCAATCTTTTACAAGCCACAATGTTTTAAGAAAGTTGGGGTAAGTTCAACTAAAGTACACCCTGTCAATTATAAAGTCTTAACATTTTTTACATCAGAAGTTAGGAAAATAAAGATCTATTAGCAAATACCTGAAAAAACTGATTTGGACTGCTGGCAAAAAATGCAATGGCAGTGATTCCAAAACAATAGAGATGAAAATTCTTCCCTTATAATCAAGATACATCTCTCCCTAGAAAGATGTAACAGCATTAAAAATTATTTATACAAGCACAGGTATGCAGTAGTAAGTTCTCTTCTACTTTAAAATAATATCTAAATTACATCTTGCAGAGGGAGTTCCCTGTAAAAAAGTGGGTCCTGAAAGAGCGTTAGAAAAAGAAGTATTAGCAAAGAAAAATCCAATAAATTCAGTTAAAAAAGAACATAGAAAAAAAATTATCCATGCGACATTCATAAAACTGTAAAGTTATGCATAAGTGTAACTAGTCTTGTAGATCACGTAAATTATGAAAGTTTGGCAATTGATCTATAGCTCATGTTTTTGTGCTGCATTTCATAGTTCCTTGCTTTAAAAATATTGTGTGAATCATATCTCATAATCCCCTTTCTTTTAGCAGATTTTACAGCCTTATTATTGTCTATGTGGTTTCCTCTACCAGGCATACACGTGCAGATTGCTTTGGCTTTTGCCCACTACATGCCATTCTCTACAGTTAACAAGTGAACGTTTAACGCGATGGTCTCCATATGTCTATTTGTTTGCAATATGATTCTCCTTTAATGAAAAGGCAATAGAAGTCCTTTGTTGCATGCAGCTTAACATTCTCAGTCTTCACCATTCAAAACGTTAATTTAATATAAGCACAGCTCTGGAGGACAGCTTTGTGGTGAAAAGGTTTCTAACGTCAGATACTCAATTGTTGTTTGAATTGTTGTCTTCTGTACAGGGTATCTTACAATTGGGCTGTCCTCTGTGAAACGGAAAAAGGGAAACTACTTGCTGGAGACCATCAAGTCCATATTTGAACAGTCAAGTTATGAGGAACTCAAAGAAATTGCAGTGGTGGTGCAACTGGCAGATTTTGACTCAGCCTGGTGTGAGGGGATGGTCCAGGATATTTCACAGAAATTTGCACATCATATAATTGCAGGCAGATTAATAGTTATTCACGTCCCTGAGGAGTATTATCCTGTACTGGATGGCCTCAAGAGAAATTACAATGACCCAGAGGACCGTGTGAAGTTTCGATCTAAACAAAATGTAGATTATGCTTTCCTGCTTAACTTTTGTGCTAATCTTTCTGACTATTATGTTATGCTAGAAGATGATGTTCGCTGCTCGAAGAATTTTTTGACTGCTGTTAAGAAAGTAATTACCTCTCGAGAAGGATCCTACTGGGTGACTTTGGAATTCTCCAAACTGGGATACATTGGAAAGCTTTACCATTCCCATGACCTCCCACGCCTGGCCCATTTTTTGTTGATGTTCTATCAAGAAATGCCTTGTGATTGGCTGCTCATCCACTTTCGTGGGCTGTTAGCTCAAAAGGAAGTAATACGTTTTAAGCCATCTCTGTTCCAGCACATGGGATACTACTCATCTTATAAAGGGGCTGAAAACAAGCTAAAGGATGATGATTTTGAAGAGGAATCATTTGATATCCCTGACAACCCACCTGCAAACTTGCACACCAACATGAATGTATTCGAAAACTATGAGGCAAGCAAGGCTTACAGCAGCATTGATGAGTACTTCTGGGGCAAAGCTCCTTCTACGGGAGACTTCTATGGGATTGTATTTGAAAAGCCCATTAAAATCAGTAAAATTAAAGTTGTCACTGGAACTGAAGACCGGCAAAATGATATTTTGCAGCACGGGGCCCTGGAAGTAGGAGAAAAGATTGTAGGGAGTAAAAAAGGGAGACAATGTACTACTTACTTGAGACTAGGGGAATTCAAAAATGGGAATTTTGAAATAACAGATTTAGAGCACAAAGTTCTGTTTGATATTAACTGCATGAGAATACTTGTTACCAAAAGTCAAAAAGAATGGCTGATCATTAGGAGTATTAGCGTCTGGACTTCTCAAACATCAGTTCAATAAATCAAAGCCACCTGAGAAGGTACAGAGTGCGTACAATCAGCTGGTTCCCAACTGGTGCCATTCCCCAGAAAAACTGACACCTCCAGCTCTTCACTGGAGACACAGAAAATGTGGGGAAATCACAAAACAAGAAAAGCAATTTATTTTTTACTATTTTGGCCAGGCAATATACAAACACTTATTTGTTGAAAATTTTGAATTTTATAAGAAATGCAAAGTTCTCAAACCTCTTTTGAGATCTTGAACCCCTTTTTTATTATCCTTTCTCTGTAAGAGAGATCTTCTGGACTAAACAGAACAAAACAACCTATAATTACCAAAAGTTGTAAGGCTGTGACCAGTATGTTGTGAAAAGAAATTGGATTGCACCTGATGCACATATAAATTTAAAATGTTATGGTAGTATGCGTTTGTACAATAGTTGGTGATGTGTTTCTTTTAAAGTCAGTTGTGACAAGGAAATCCGTCCTGAACCTGGCAGTTTCATTCTGAGGACTGCAAGAAAATAGTGTGGCTAATCATTGCAACATCTTTTCAAAAGGGAATGTATGTAAAATTATAAATCTGACATGACAACTATGTAAAAAATAGATAATTGTATCTGCTATTCTGTCTCAACAAATATCCTTTGTTCTTTTTCCTGGGTCCTTTCACTGAAATGAGCACTACTTGGATTCTATATTACTTAGGGGACCAATTTTCTCTCCTTATTCGAACAAAATGCCTCACAGTAAGCAAGCATTCTGCTTGAGTACAGATGTCACTATCAAAACCAAGCACCTCAAGGGCAACACTGTTCTCTTAGACAGGCATCTTAACAGATTTCAGCTTGAACATTTTCTGTTCCCTCACAATATGCAGAACTCCCCGTGAGAAATGTGCACATAGCTGAATACTGCAGCGTGCTTTCCAAGGACTGTTATGCCTTCCACATCTACATATCCAGTCACTGTATTATACAAACATAAAGTGTGTCGGGTTAGTCAACTGGAGGTGAATTTAATCACCAGATTTTCCTGGATGATCTCTAGCCAATACAGCAGGTGCAAAACGAAGAATCCTGATTCAATGAAAAATTAATATATTTCTAAATTAGGGGGTTTTTTCCTTCTGTTTTCTAATTCTGATCATGTTAGTTTTGTGGACATCTTCCCACTGCCTCTGATTATTCCCTGCAAGCTTCTTTTGCCTGGTTTTAACCAATAAGCAGAAAAGTTCCCTCAGTTCTCATGACTTCAGTGTCAGCTCTGCGCTTTTAGTGCATCACTCTGGGGGGCTATATAGCTACATGATTTATACTATATGCATACCTTTGGATTAGCAGAATCTAGAGGGGAGGGGTTCCTCTAAGAAATTCTCCAGACTCTCTCAGAAGACACACTAAGAAATCCATGAGTATCAAGTCTGACACAGATGAACACTGTATTGTCAATCTCATGAGTACTGTGGTTACCACCTAATTGCATGTATGGGGTTTAGTTAAATATGGAAGGCAAGGATTAAATTTCAAGAATGTCTGCACTGTCCAAGAGTGAACTAACTACTGTACTCAGAACATCCAAACCTGACATGGCTATTTCAGAAGGGTAAATTATTCAAAAATCTACACAGAACGGTGATGCAATTGCTTTTCCTGGTTCCTAAATCCTGATAAATTCAGGTCCAGGTTTGGCAAATACCCCAATACAGAGGCAAGGTACATTTTAAATAAATCTTCTGATACATGCTTCTACATAATTCAGAAAAGCATCCTCTTCTCAAAGAAAGTCTTTGATTCTTTGTTCCTTAATACACACCTAAATCTCTGTTCTTCATATACATATCTTCAATAAAATAGATTAAATAAAATAGATTTCAAACTGAAAAGGAAAATAATACCATTTTTTAAAAGGAAAAATATGTACTAATCTCAAATGGTTATACGTACTTATGAAGGACTTGCTTTTTAACAGTGATCTTCCATGGCTTTCAAACAATTACCTGATAATTAGTCATTAGTCAGCCCAATTTTTTATGAACTGTCATTCTTCTATTTTTCCTTTCCTTGATCATTAACAATTAGCGTGAAATAAACACAACAAAGTTAACGAGGAACATTACCTTTACTTTTTTTCAGAAATATTCAAACCAATCTTCTAAATTAGAATGGAAAATATATTCAATCTCAAGATTTAAAATGTTCTTTTAATCAAAATCATACAAAATGTGAATGTCTAGTATAAATTAAATGTTCTCAACGTATGCGTGAAGTAATTTAAATGGTATTTTTGAATTAGGAGCTGAACAAAATTGCTTTCTTTTTTTAAAACAACAGTAGTAATGAGTCTCATCTTGTATATCATGGCTTGGCAGGAGAATTCTCATCTGGATGTTACCAGCCTGAGAGGGTCAAACTCAGAAATACGGAGTGCTCTCACAGGAACCTTTCCTTGGGTGTCGATAAAAGTATGTGCTGGGAATGAGAGTCATGCACCAGTCTTTCTCTTGAATTTGAGCTGATTTGGAAAAATAATTAACAATACATTTATTCCAGGAGAGGCAAGAATGTGGTTCTGTTAGCTAGTGTTTTGAGCACTCATCTTAGTGCATGGGTCACAGCTGCTCCTTCACACAATACTCATTCACAAAACTTCACACATCCAACTCATTCACATGAAAAAGGTTGCCATATTTTTTAGGGGAAAAAAACAATCAATGATAACTGGGTTTCAGACAGATTTCAGAAAGACGTATTTGAAGAGATGTTTCTTTCTTCATGTGCTAAGAAAATTGGTTGTTCTCTGAAAGCGAAATATTTAATCAGACATGTATATGTTCAATTAACACTTCTCAAAGTTTGGATTTTCTTTTTTTCACTGATGTAGCGAAAGATTAGCAGTGTCACAAAGCTCCGTTCATTGGTGTATACAGTTGGTTCCATTGGTGTGTGTTTCCTGGGTTCATTTGTGGACTGAACATAAATATTGTCATACTGAAATGCCAAACCTGAAAATATTACACCGTGGTCTGCACACTGATGGATCTAATCTTCACTAACATATGTTTATTGTTCCTGCTGGCACATTTTCAGATTCCTCATTGTATAATGTCCCTGGGCCTTTTTTTTTCTTTTCTTAACTAAAAGACAGTTTGTCTTCTATCTTTCTTCACACAGTGTAATCCCTCTGACATAGGGAATTCTTGGGCAGTAAAATACTACTCACTGTGAATTAAAAGAAGAATGGAACCTTCAGTTTAGTGCAAAATAAACAAACCCAGAAGACAGTGATTTCCAGGCAAAAGAGTTTTAACATATTTGCTATATGATAAAGATAATTCACAAAGGTGTTATCTGAATGTGTGATATTTAGACCAATGTTCTAACACGATACTCTGTTTTAGTTTCTGCTCAGTATTATCTCATGTTAGGCACTAATTTTTTTGCTTTTATAAAGGGAAATTCAGAAGTTGTTCACTATCAAATTATTAAAAGTTAAATAAACAGCAAACTATAACATCTTAGAAAATTTCATTTTGGAAAACTATTAAAGGATAAAAAAAGCATGGTTAACCATCTTAAAAACTGCTTTCATTGTGAAGTGTTTCAGAAATTCTGATGGAAATGATAGTTCTTACTACTCTCATGTTAAATTTGCAGTTCTGTTAGATTTCAATAACTATTTGTCTCTCTCTACTGACTATGGTGGGAGACTCTGCAAGTAGTTTGGCCAGAACACTAATTTCCGGGATAATTGGAGATACAGGAGATCTGGGGTTTTTGCATGATTACATATAATATGTACAAATCTAGATAAAAATATTTGATGCATATAAACCTTTACAGATAATTTCCTGTCAGCAGCACCACTAGTCACAGCAGGGATATTCAGTATCTTCTCCATAAATACTATCTCTCAATTTCAATAAAAACAATATTTCCAGCTTTAAAATAAGGAACATGAAACCCCACCTTCAATCTAAAGCTTTATTTATTACGTTAGTTTAACAATTAAATTAAGTACAGAGAAAGATTAATTACAATAACATTGCCGTAATAGTAGTTGTTAAAGTGCCATAAAATTGAATTGGCATCTGGGTAGACACTAGCTTATTTTTCAGCCACATTTCTAGATATTTTTTCAACTGTCATACTACCTACTATAAATTCTCAAATAAAACTCCACTTTGTCCTGACAGTTGTAAAAAGGCTCTTAAAATTCCACATATAACTTGAAAGCACTTTAAATAGGGTTATATTGCTAATTGTACCCTTTGCCAGTCCTTTCCTGGGCTTATGTAAGAGTTTAATGAGGAAAGCTCAACATCAAAAGCTCATGCTCATTTCCTCCATTCAGCTGGTTAAATAGCTGCCTTCCCTCTTTCTTGCTGTCATTAACATTGGGTTTGCTTTTGCCAGTTCAGGAAAATTTGCATGGCAGTCATGGAAATCTCAGGCTGTGAATTCTGTCTCAAAGATACTTTGTTTGTACTTTATGAAATGTTCCCATTTCTTAACAGACACGTACCATTTTTAGAAAACCAGCACAAGCAGTGTTCAGTTTCTTGGGCTCTCCCTTGGTGTTATTAGGGTGGGTTTTCTTCCTAGATAACTGCATCAAGCACAGACATTTAAAAAGACATTACCAGGAAAAAAAACAACTGCTATGCAAAGGACTTACTTTTAATTTTTAAAACCAGGTTCAAAGGTTTCTTTGTGATCAGGCTTTATCTATGCCATGCAATTTAAGTAGAGGAAATGAAAATACCATGATGGCAAGAAAAGGTTAAATAAATATTATGTGTGTATATTTCTGTTGTATGATTGCACTTTAACTTATTGTTTAAAGATGGTTGTTTGTCAGAGTATCGTCATTGTATTAACCCTTTTACAGCAAAAGGGAGTCTCTGATGGCCCCTAGAACTGGTCTTTTTTACTGTCTCAATAAAAATAATAGATTCAGCTTTCAAAAGCATTGCCTTGGGCATGCACACTGATGTTGTACACAAAGAACAATATTGGCTGTCTGTCCAGCCTGCTGTACTGCAGCACTGGAATACTTATGTCTACCAGAGTGGGGGTGGAAATGTAACAAGGAGCAGTTACTATCCTTGCTACAGTACCTGTAATATTTTTGGAAATAAATGTAAGATATAAAAAGTCCCCTTGGCTTAATGCCCTTCTCTTTAACCATAGTACTATACAGTTTTCTTTTAAATGTAGATATGACATTTTCATTTGTTTAACTTGGGCCAAAAGTGCACATAACCCAGAGGAAAAAGCACACTTTAAAGGAAATTTTACAAGTAGTTGTTGTATATTTCGCTTTCTCAAATGTATGTTCACTTTGTTCTGGTAACCTGGATGTCAAGTTCTTGCTCAAACTGATGTTTAGAGCTGCAATTTAAAATGTTCTGGGTTTGTGGTTTTTTTCTTAGTATGCCATGTACTACTAGGAGCAGAGTTCTTAAGACCTAAGTTAAACCCTTCTGCCAACAGTTGCTGCTACTGGAAGTCCCTGGCTTTGTGCTGATGCCACTTGGGATATTTCAGCTCATATGCAACTTTACAGTCTATTCTGATGTCATGTTACACTTTCACCAATGCATGCAGGCATTCCCTCCCTTCCTCTTTAATTTCAATACCGAATAAATGAACTTCATGAATAAATACTGCCAAACCACTTTCACCTCCATTCAGGAAACTGGGACTGTTACTGTCATTTATTTCTCAGAATTACTTCCCCACTATATTTAAATGTCACATCTGCTGAAAAGACAATAAGCATGCTCTAATGAGACACCCTTTAAAGAGAGAAGTGCTAATTCCTTTTTTTACTGTATAACTCTAAGGGTTGACTGTGTCAAAATTACGCGCATACCTTTTTTACCTTTGTGAAAATCTCATAAAGCAAACTGGTTTTGTGAGTCACTCCTGCAAATGGTTCCTGGCAGCAGTCTGGTTTTGCATTTACAAAGTGAGCCAGGTTTCTCTCCTCCACAGAGCTGAATAGCATCTTTCAAGGAAGAAAAAAAAAGCCCGGAACAGGTCTCCTCCCTAGTGGTCATCTGCTACCTTTCAAAGACACAATTTCTTCCGTATGTTTCCTCCCTTCTCTCCCTCAGAATAGTATATTAAAATCAACATGTGGTCTCCCTTCTTCCTGATACCTGAGCTCGTTCCCATCTGCACACTCATATTTTTCTTTTGGAAAGAGGTAGTTTTAGTTTATGCAGAAACTCTTATATAAATGACACAACATAGCCAGCAAATTTTTTCAAAGGTCTATTTTATTTTTTTTTTAAGCATTCTAAATGCAATATATTCCCTCAAAGGAGATAAATGGTTGCTCAAGCATATTTTTGTTAACTGCTCCTCACACAAAACCAAACAAAAAGACAGGTAAGGCCTTTTAGGTAAGTAAGTGTGTGCACGTGTGCGTGTGTGAACAAAAAAGTTGCAAAAAACCACATCTATAGCTGCCTTATGCACCAAAGACTTTAAGCTCTCTGGCTAAGGAGAGGAACCATTTCTTGATCAAAGCAGTGTGTCAGAAATAATTTGGACATTAACTTTTCTACTGTTAATCACTCTTTCTTCTGATACTAAGCCAATTCCATAGAATATAAACTCTTGGGTAATATCTCTTGCCAAGCTGTTGCATGTATTTTGTAAACAGATGTTACTTTTCCTGAATGTTGGTTATAATTAATACATTTACCTTGACCATAAACTATTGATAAAACATTTTTCTTGTCTTGTTCTATTTGAAAACTTTATTTCTCTTTTAAACTGAGGAAATGCATTTGCTCTTTTCAATAGCTTTAATATAAACACACTAGAACAAGGGATTAGGAATCACATGTGTATTCTAGTATGAAACTGGATTCTACCATTGTACTAATAGCATATTTGAGAAAAAGTATTTAAATCATAAAAGTATACTTAAGCATTTATCTGTTCTAAAACACACTAGAGCAACTTTATTTCAGGCCTTTGTGAAAAAAAAATGCACAAGACCATCTTACTGGAAAAATACCTTTTCCCAAACTTTGATTTCTTCTGCCAGTAGCAAGGCAGTTCTTCAGTTCTGCTTCATGAAACCCAGTTCCATTGTATCACATATTTCTATCACCTCCACAAAATTAAGTCAAATTGCCAGGGATACATTTAGTTTGATGAACTTTTATCCTTTTATGCTTATTAAAGATTGAACAGCTATCTTCCACAGTCCTAAGAAGAATATATTGTAAATTTCTGGTCATTGTGTCTCCTTGTTTTGATAGTTAGTGGTTAGTAGTTGTTATTTATTTATTTATTTTCATAGAGAGAGATTTCCTGAGGAAAATGATTTCCTGAGGGTGGAGGGGGAAAAAGTGGTTGTATTTTTACTTCACCTGTTTCTGTCATCACCTTCTTCATATAGAGCTTTTGCTACTCCCTTGTTCACCGCAGGCACACACTCAGCGAAAAAAACAAATTAACAGAAAGGCATTGTAAGCAATAGTTTTCTAGTAGAGACAGGAGCACGAGAGAGCGAATTAGAAGCTGTCTTAGATATTTCAAGTTCAGTACAAAGAAAGCTAAAGAACATTTTCTCCTGATGTCCTGCCTTTTCACTGTGACATTTCTTCCATTTCATGTGCCTCTGTGGATATGTGATCTAAAGCTCATTGCAGTTAATGGGGACTTTTCTATTAACTTTGCACTACTTTGCTATGCCGCTTCAGCTATAAATCTCCTGTCATGTAAGCCAGCTTGCTTTCTGGTCAAACTACACCGTGCTGTGTAGATATACCCCCTAGCTGCTTCTGTGGTTTTAAACCTGGGATAAATTACTAACCCAGCAACTATTTATGCAGATGTTTACATTAGAGAGGTGTCTTCTGCTGAGATTGGGTACTGAAGCCAAACTTAGCATGCTACAGCACCTCAAGGACTCCTTGGGTGTGTGTTATAGAACCATAGGCCTCCAACTCACATCCAGCAGACACAGCTATCGTGGTTTAAAACCTTACCACTCACTAGCTTCGGTTGTAACCCCCTTTCCTCGCTTTGCTTAAAATTACAGCCCCAACAATGGAGCTGGTGGAGTGGAAGAGCTCAGCAAAGCCACTGCTCAGTGCAACGTCTTTGTGCAAACCTACTTCCATCGGTATTTTAAACATGGCGACAGGCTGGGGACCTGGCGCACCAGTGGCATTGCCCCACACTGCCTTTTGCTCCTGCCCCACCAGGCAGGAGGGACTGGCAGGGAACTGGCTGCACAAAGCCTTCAGCTGGCCCTTAAAACACACTTCTTTTTAACATTTCCTTCCCCAAAACAAAACAAGCCTTCTTGCCATTATGTGTGGAGCTATCACATTTTAGTGCAGTAAGTTTTGGAATAGCAAAGTAATAAAGATATGAAGGAAAGAAAAGAGAAAAAAAAAAAAAAAGAAGAGTTTCCCAAATTTGCCATTAACAATAGGTCAGATTCGGTAACAAGTTATAAGACTTTTTTTTTAATTAAATTTAGATTTCTGTGGGTTTTTCTCCACCAAGTTTATTAGTTGCAGAGGCAACTAAAACTGAAAAACAACAGCAAACCTTTCCCACCCTTACTTCCCAGTTTTCGTAGATTTAGAACTTTTTAATATTTACCCACATGGAAACATCTACCATCTGGTGAGCATACTTTGGTCAGACACTCTGCTCCCAGTAGTCAGGATGTCTTGGAAAAATTCCTAGTTCTTAAAAAAATCCCAAACAAATCTTCGTCTGTGCCAGTTTAGTTTGTGGGCCAGATGCTTATCTGAATTACCCTGGTGCAAATAACTGCTTCCAATACTAGTTGAAAAACAAAAGCTATACCTGCTTTTATTCCTTATTTTCTTCAATTTAATGCTATAATTAAATAGATTGAGATGATTAAAATAGCCTCAAAAGCCTTTTAAGGGGAACGGAATCTTTAGTTTAACTCAGAATTAGAAACCAGAGACTTGTATTCCCTTCTTTCTCACAAAAGCAAGTGCTAAATCAGATTTCCCAAGAATTTGAACCTTTGAATCTCAGGAACCTCTTTCCTCCTTCTTCCTTATCTGAGTATGAGCTATAGAAAAGCATCTGTCTTTCAAAACAGTGTTTATCTCAAAGGATACAATTCATAATTTTATAAATATGGTGGACATCTCCTTGGACTCTTCTAAGAGCTTCTTCTGCTTGTCCTACACTTCTAAAATGCTGCATTCAGTAGTTTAACTGCATTCACTGTACTTGTGTTAATAGATGCAGTTTTCATGTTTCGGTCTCTAATGACATAAAATTCATGATCAGGAATTATTTCTGTTCTGCCTGTTTGCTTCAGTTCATGAAGTTTTCACACAAAAATGAGACGCAGAAAAAAACAATTAGAAAAAATGTTTATAGCCTTCAGGAGAATTGTTCATTTTTTATCCCTTTTGTTGGAAAACAGATCTCTTCTCCCATATGGCACCTCAGAACAGAGTTTTTTGGCACTCAGACTGCTATTTGCAACATACTCCTAAGTGCTAATGCACCTTTTTTTTTTTAACCCTCAGCTGCTTTTTTTAGTTTTCTGTTGTGTCTAAGCAATTGCTAACTGTTACTAACCCGAGGTGTTTTTTGTGGTTTTTTTTTTCTTTTTCAGCTGTACTGGAATCCAGATGAGGACGTGCTAACAGCTTCTCTTTGGAGATTGGTTTTGTTTTTTTTTTTCTCTTTTTTTATCAGAATGGGAACTATTTGTAAGAAATAATTCACCTGGTAAATTGAGCTTGTATTTTCTTTTTTTACTACTACAAAAGAAAAGATACAGAAAGAAGGGGGGCTAATTTGCCAGCGCACTGTTACGGAAGGGTATTTTTCCTTTGGAATGCCCTGCTATGCTTTGGTAGTGAGCATGTAGTATGGCACACTGGATCACGTCTAAACAGGCAAAGTAGAGAAATTTCTTTAGCTTAAACTATTCCTCAAGCCTGAAGGTGCAATTTCCCTGCTGTTGAAGAGGAATCAGACATGAGAATGGGACAGTCACTAACTAAGCAAAGGATGATTCAGGTGTTTCTAGTGCTCCCACAATATTCAATTATTTAAAATATATCAAACTTAATCCAAAAACCACTGAAATTGAAAGGACTGTATGCCTTCATTTCAACAGGTCTTTGATCACACCCTAATTTGGAAATTTTCTCTAATTTTTAAACTAGTCTGAGTGATGGAATTAAAAAGTCTTGTACAGTTTTCTAATGTAATTTCCTCAATCACTTATTTTTTTTTAAGATTGGAAAGGACATTTGGAAATGAATAGTTTTGTAAAATAACTCAAATTTTCTGTTTGCAAGATGAACAGGACCTTTCAGCTTTAAAATAATGATATCAGAAAAACACTGTTATAGGACAGGAGAGAGATTGTAAGGCTGGAAGGAATAAAACTACATCAATCCTTTCCATTTCATAGAGGGCTGAACACGAAAGTTATGACCTTTAGTAAAGCAATTTGAAAAAAAATTACAAAGGTGGAAAAAATGCTTCTAGTGCAGCCAGGCCCTTTGGGAGGCAAGTAGAGACTGAGAGATGCCAGACAGCTATAGCATAGATCAATATCAGATGGATTCAGGAAGGCAGGAGACAATACAGAAAATAAAGATGATAAATGTAAACCAGTAAGATTTACACTCACATGAATAATTTTCCCTGAGCTGTCACTTAAAGACGCCAACGATTCAGACAAAATTATATTTATTGTTTTTTCTTTTTTGTTGGGGTTTTTTTTTTTTTTTGGGGGTTTTTTTTTTTTTTTGGGGGTTTTTTTTTTTTTTTGGGGGTTTTTTTTTTTTTTTGGGGGTTTTTTTTTTTTTTTGGGGGTTTTTTTTTTTTTTTGGGGGTTTTTTTTTTTTTTTGGGGGTTTTTTTTTTTTTTTGGGGGTTTTTTTTTTTTTTTGGGGGTTTTTTTTTTTTTTTGGGGGTTTTTTTTTTTTTTAGTGCTAGAATAGCAAATAGTGAAGTCTAAAGGGACCTATGAAGCTAGGTTTGGAGACACCAGATCTCTACTGTTACACACAGGTTTTCAGTGTGAAGACTGGGTTCTGAGCTATGTGCATCTTGAACCATCTAAAACTGAGTTCAGTTCAGAAGATATTTTGAAATGAACCCCATCTATACGGGTATTATCAGATTACTCAATTTATTTGATTTCACAGTCTCGTTTTTTTTCATTAAGAATTTTTTTTTTAATTTCTGTTTTAGAGTAGTGTAGAAATATCAGAGATGTGGTATTCAAAATATCTCACATTTGAAATTCTGCTTGTTTTAAATTAAAAGTTATGAACATGAAAGAGAAGAAAGTGGAAAAAGAGAAGAAAAATAACCTAACCTTTCAGCATTTTCAAATGCATTTAACTTCATTCTGGTCAATAAATGGGAAAAGTTTGTAATTGTTCTCGGGCAGGATTCATCTTCATGAGAAGATATTCAGTGCCATTTTAGATATTATTTGGTATTGGAGACATCTGAAATCCAGGGCTGATCAATAGGTTAGGAGATGTTAGGTAATGAACAACCTTCAGAACTGTCAGCTGGTGGCCAAATAGAACTACTATCCTTTGTGATAAAAAACAGCAATAAAACTCAGTATTAGAGCAATCTAAGGCTGAT